CAGAGCAAAGGTTATTATGGTTGGGTGCCTCTTTGACTCAGCCAGGAGCACACTGTTATCTCCAGAGATACCCCTTAAATACCTTTTAATTACATCAGCCTGTTGCATATTCATAGAGCCTTATGCATATTAAACGTTTCCCCACACTACTTTATATGTTCCAAGAATTGTTTAGCATGGCTCCTCCTCGGTTTCACCTTTTTAGAGCATGGACATTCCTTGGTTGTGCTTTTGTCCTTCTTGGTCATCACCTCCAGTTCTGGGCCTTGGTGCACACTCTCTTCAGTCAGTGAGTGCTGATGGTTGGCAGATCTGTAGCAGGGTCCTCATCCTGCATTCACTGGATGTTATCCCATCCAAGCAGGCATTTTAACACAAGCACAATTTTATCAGCTATTTCACTGCTATGTCTAAGCTTAATTACAACAGAAATAAAACTATATAACAAAGTTACTTTAACACCAGACATATAAAATCCACTTTAATATTCACAAAAAGCCAATATTACGCTATGTATCTATAACATTGGGAAGAAATTATTCCCTGTGAGGGTGGGAGTGCCCTGGCACAGGGTGCCCAGAGCAGCTGTGGCTGCCCCTGGGTCCCTGGCAGTGCCCAAGGCCAGGCTGGACAGGCTTGGAGCAACCTGGGATAGTGGAAGGTGTCCCTGCCATGGCAGGGGTGGCACTGGGTGATCTCTAAAGTCCCTTCCAAGTCCTGTCAGAGCTTTTCCTGTATTGGAATGAGTTTCAACAAATCCACTGACACATTCAAGCTCTGGTCCTTGTGAAGTCCACACTTAGGTCCCTGGTCACAAGCGGGAGGAGGAAAGTAAAAGAATGGTTTATGCACAGGGCTGTGTTTGATAAGATGTGACAAATATTGGGCAGGATATTTTCTCCAACAAAACCCCAAGAAAACACACAAATCCAACTCCTACCCCTAGGAGGACAGGATGTGACATAGCAGAGAGGATGCTAAAGGTGGATCATGCAAAACCTCCTTGTCTGGCAGTGTGAGAGGACCCTGGCTTGCTCCTTCAATCTTCCTTCTCATCTGGGTCAGGAGAAGTGGAAGGATTTTTCAATCTGGAAAAATTTTGAAGAGGTCTATCAGCAAATTCAGAAATCTGACACAATTCTAGGAGCTCTCCCTGATACCTTGAGAAGGCTGACCTAGAACAGACTGGAGGAGCTAAAGAATAAAGTAGGGGTTTATTTGGAGTATCAATGGATCCACCTTGGGCAGCACCAGAGCCCAGCCAGGGCTGCACCCCAGGTGAACCAAAATGGTCACAAAATGCCCCACGAGTCATGGGATCTCTCACTTCTGTAAGTTCTGGCCCATTTGCATATTGGAGTTAATTGTTCAATTCCAGGTTCAGCCCATGCAGTCCCATCCTGCTTGTTTTTCTCTCTTCAGCCCACATTGTTTGTGCTCTTGGGCCTGAGATTTGGATCATTTGTCCTTGGTCCCCAGCTGGAGCAGGAATTGTTTTGTCTCCCTGCTCTGTGAACAGAGCTCACCATCCCCTCATATGAAGCTCAGACCACACACTAAAGCAACACAGGACCTGAAAAATATAAAAGCTGAAACCTGAGGCATCACCTCTGCATGCTTTGTAACACATTTCTGCCCTCCTTTCCCTGCCCACTCTATTCATAGCTCAATCCTTCCTGCTGTACCCAAAACAACTCCCCAAGTGCAGCCTGTGGTGAGGGCAGGGAGGGGAGGACACCTTAACCTCATTCCCCTTTGGTTTGTGGTCCAACGGCTGCTGTTTTTTTCCACAGCCTCCCCCTCCTGCCACGTGCCACCCCTGCCCCCTCCGGGCTGCACTTTCCAGAGGATGTGGTTTTTGTGGGCAGCTGTAGACAGCAGCCGTGGTGACCCAGATCTCGATGGTGGCGTCATGGAACTTGTGCTGTGGCCTCTTCCTGCCCCAGCTGGGCCACCAGCCCCTTCCCACCTCCT